CATTCTCATCAGTAATTTAAGGTCAATATGATGGTCTGAGTACGACAAGACTTTTACCTCCATATACATCCTCTGCATTACATACGGACCCTTTATCCAATTGGTACCCGAACTGCTACAATTTACGGCATAAAAATTCAAAATACCCATGCTATCCTTAATAGAATGCAACTCCTCTACTTTATTTTCCATTAAAAGATAGAACAGAGGGGAGGAGAGGATTGAGAATCCTTCTAAGTCTATTAATCGTCGCAGGTCTCCCCGACCAGCGGTCATTACAACTGAGGAAACCCACGGCTGCGCGGTTAAGAAAGCAGTTCATTCGCTTTCCTTTGAACAGTGTGTCGACCTCATCCCACCCTACACAGCCGCTCTCCAAAATCTCAATTCTGAACTCGGATAGGGGAACACGTCTCCATTTGTACTACATGGACCCAGTTTTTGTTAAGACCCAAGTTGGTTTAGAACTGGACCTATTATCTAGTGGGTCGACCTTAATGAACATTTCCATTGGCTGATATCGGTGGTGTACATTGTGGGCTTGAGAAATATTGTTGGATCTACACTTTTGGGCTCTCAACAAAGTAGTAATGGGGGTTGGACCAAGAAGTAAGCTTCTTGGAACAAACAAACATCTGAGATCCACCGGAAAGCCCATTGTTCATATAAAATATAACGTTTAGTGGTTTTTGTGATTCTCTTTTTGGGAAATTACCCAATGTAGTCAGGGAAACATGACCAATATTACATATTTATCCAGAGTAACCTGTATTGTTTGGACTGAGGGTACTCATAGTACTCCTCTGCTCAGCTGCGACATCAAAACAAGAAAAGGGAAAACCAGAGTAACCTGTATTGTCTTCTGGACACAAGCTTTTTGAAACTTTTGCGATTCTAAAAAGGAGGAATCTGTGCAAATTCTAAAAAGGAACCTATTTGCGATTTGGGAACTAGTGATAATTTGAAGAAGGTTACCATTGCCAGCCGTAGGGGCACTGGCGTTTCTGTCCTCAACGACAAGGAAGGGGTTAATATTATTTGTTAAGAGGGAGAAGTATTTTGATACGTTGAAGAAAATTTGGAGATTTTTTACAACAAAAAAAATATATATATATTTATATTGACACAAAAGAAATTAATTTAATTATAAACATAAGTGTATTTGTAGTTACATGTACATTAATAAATATAATATACTTATATTTTTATATATCAGTTTATATATTTATATTTTATATTTATATCATATACAAAAATAGTTTAAATATTAGATACGAGTCAGATAATCCATAAATTTGACAAAGGTTTTAAAATTTTCAAAACTCCTCCCAAGGAGATCAGATTGGAGTAGGGTAAGTTCCAAGCACATGCAAACTTGATTACCAAAATAAATATTTGTAGATAATCCCATCTAATGTTGTTTAAAATTGAATTCAATTTTGTGCTGTTAAATTTTAATAAGCTTTTAATTACCCTACCCACAAATCAAATTGCTAAACTACCCTTCAAAAATTATATGTATGTTTCTGAAGTATAATATGGGATTAACTCATTTTCCTTGATCAAATATCAATCACCCAAAA